ATAATAAACGCACCTTCCCTTATGCAGAAGCCATTTGATCCATGTCTTACGCCTCTGGCCTTTATAAATTGGAAACACAAACCATCATTTTGAGTAGTCTATATTCACATTGACATCTTTAGTGATAAAAACTGAGGATCAAACCAAAGTCTTTTGTGTAGTTTTAATCATTAAGGCCCCAGTAATACCTTATATGGTAAAGGCTATTTTTACATTGCATTTTACATCTTTGATTCGCAACATTGGCAAAATAAGAACTAATGACCTGCTCAAGATGTTTGCCCGAAATAGATGTTGATGTTGGGCAGTGCAGAATCATTTTTTCTTGTGATAAAAATCATATTTTAGGAATTTGACAGTTTAATGCAACTCTACGCATGCGCATTATTCCATAATAGCCTGCCAAAATATCTGTCAAACGATCTGGAGCTCTGCCAGAGGCGTGCCTTGCGAATTATATATCCAGGACGAAGTTACGAGCAAGCTTTACAAGACACCGGCCTAGAAAAGCTATGTGAAAGACGTGRAACAATYACATCTAAACTATTCAAAGAAGTTTGCAGACCAGGACATAAACTGAACAAATTGCTTCCACCTAATAATAACTGCCCTTACAACTAAAGAAATAGAAGATCTTTTAATAAAATCAAGATATCAACAAAAAGAACACGGTCAATTTCAATGCAATGGAATAACACTGCTCTATAACAATCTTTTAAATTAAATATTATATACGCCTTCTTAACAATCAATCATACATGTACATATATTCAATTCTATATTTTTCATATTTATGAAATTTTATCAAATTTATATATTTATATATCAAATATTGTAACTTTAACGTAATTCAGCCATTTGGCTGCTAAGTTATTTGAATAAAACTATCTATCTATCATCTACTAAATGTTGAAACTCCAGCGAATAAACGGTTATCCTTGCAACATTCAACTGAAAACATTTTTGAATCTAGGTCACGTATTAAAAAATATTGTTTGTTTTAATTATTTTCCAAACCAATACAATTTATATAAAACTGTTGCGAAATCAACATTTAAATGCCGGAAGTAAAGTGTGTAAAGGATTTTTAAAACCGCAATGCATTATGGGCGTCCTGTTGCTGGATTGCGTGACCAGACCGTTCTACCGTGTACGACGTCTCAGAACTGCTGCTTTCCACTTTTTGTTTTTGTAGGAGAATTTACTCATAGACCTATTCATCCGGGAGAAAAAGTCAAGAAAGAAACCAAACTGAGTTTTTAAAGATTCTACTTAAAGAATCATATACGACAAGACACGCAACGTCCAAGTATATGCAAGGTATGCGTGAAGTT